GGACTGGGCCTCTCAAGAGACCAGGGCTGGAGACCCCTGATCTAGGGTGACCTACAAGACTAACAGGACTGGGGCACTCCAGGATCAGGCGTTTACGGTGTGGAACCTGTGGGAAATGGAACCTCAGGAAGAATCGGCAGCCCTCCCACCTTCTTGAAGTGCGTGGCTGACTGGACTTTGCGCACGGGCTGCATGAGCGCGTCCCGCACGATGATGCTGATGTCCGCGCCGGAGTACCCATCTGTCTTCCTGGCCAGCTCGCGCACGTCTGCCTCCGACAGGCTGTGCGGCGTGTTGCCCAGGTGCAGCCGGAACATCTGGGCCCGGGCGGGCTCCTCCGGCAGGGGGATGTAGATCCGCTTCTCAAACCTGCGGGCCAGCGCAACAGCGCCACCATCAGCTGTCAAACAGATTCTGCCACAGCACTTTTAACTCTGGAATTCATCATTTTGCGAGCCCCACGGAGTGTGCAGTTCACCCCTTTGCCCTGCAGTTGACGGCAGCGACCTCGTGAACCGGCACCTCTCAATGACTTCAGGTGGGTGCCTCCCTGTTATCGGGCAATGTGAGCTTTCCAAAATGTCAAGATGTGCCAAGGATTCTAGGTAACTTTCAATGGGGATCTGAGTTCATTAAACTACAGAGCACAGTACAATCAAGACGGACAGTACCGTCTGCTCTCATCTGTAACTTTATGCTCTTTTGTCCTGTAATATTAGCTGCTTAGCTATCTTTGAGAACTGGCACTGTGCACCAACACCACTCTATGGCAGCATCCCCACTTTGCTATGGAGGAATCTTGCTCAGCTCACTCCCTTGCACAGGCCCTTCAGGAAGAGTGAGAACTGGTGAAGGCACCGATTGACTCTTCACAGACTTGAAATGCTTGATTAATATAAATTGGACAACCTTCAAATCTCCATTTACATTTGCCTTAGTCCATAACGTTGGCACATACACTGGCTTCGGGAGTCTTCGTGAGGACATGTGGGTCACTCTTTTATCAACGCAGCTCAGAGTAAGAAAGCCTCAGCGCTCTCACCTCCTCCTAATGGCAGCATCCAGCACCCAGGGGATGTTCGTCGCACCAAGAACTAGGACCCCATCATTATTGTTCCCCACACCTGAGAAACAGAAAGCAACCTTCACTGATGCTGTTACAGGAAGGAAGGCACATGTGCAGCCCCAGCAGAGCACACGTGCAGATCCCAGGTGCATTTATAGGAGTATCAGATTTGTCATGCTGGTCAACATGTAGTCAGGTTAAACCGCTGTTCACATTGAGTAATTTGCAAACAGTCATCCGAGTCAGACTGTGTAACTTTATACGGTTTGGATTATTTGTGTATAAGGTCTTATGTCCTTAATCTCCAATGAAGGCAATTTTCTGGTTAGGGCTTCCTCCAGCTGAAACGTTTCTTTACCCACTGAGGCTAAAGGGCATGTAGATATTTTTCTTTTTTTTTAAATATACATATATTATTGTCACTTATTTTTCCAATTGGTGACATACCCATCCAATTCGAAATCTACAGTCGGGCTTTTTCAAGCCTCGATTCACTGGTATGAGCTGCGCACAGGGAGAATCGTAGAGATCGTGTTGCCGGGAGCTGTGAGATCCATTGCTGGCTAATCTCAATCCCTACACTAGTACCTTGTGTGCCACCACATGGAGAACCCACAAGAACCCTGGGATTCTTTGTCCCAGTCGGCTAATGACATGACTCGGGCTCAGACCAGCACCACCAGGATCACAGAACCATAACTTGTACTTAAGCAAAGTAACCTTTCTCGACCGAGCTACTCTGAAGCCCCAGAGATCAGCCAGATCCTACTTATAAAGAGTAAAACTGATCTCCTACCTTGCATTTGAACCAGAAACTCTGTCTTAATCCTTCTAGCAGCTTCACTTTCATTCTCATTCCTAGAGCCACACAACGAGTCCACTTCATCAATGAAAATAATGGAGGGTTTATGCTGTCTAGCCAAGTCAAAGAGGTTCTTTACAAGTCTGGAGGAGACAGAAGAAGTTGGTTCAATATAGGAAAACATTCAGAATAATCGATCAAACACAACGTCCAATACTAACTCAAACTACACCACACATGGTTTCATCTGAGGTACTTTCTACTACACCAAGACAGCACTAGAAATTATAGCACAGAGTTTACTCATCAAAAGACCAGGTGAGCAAGGCTATAAACCCACCCAGGGTGGCACAAGCAGAGTCCTTGGAGCAGACACTACTCACTTCTCACTCTCCCCCAGCCACTTGGACATGAGATCAGAGGAGGACACGGAGAAGAAGGTGGAGTTGTTGGCTTCCGTGGCCACTGCTTTGGCCAGGTAGGACTTGCCTGTCCCCGGAGGGCCGAACAACAGGATCCCACGCCAGGGAGTGCGCTTGCCTGGAACAACAAGATGGCCAATTGTGACAAAGGAAAGGGTGGAAAGCACTAATGAGGAGGTATCAGGGTGAATATTTCACCATTACATCCCTCACAGTTAATCATCTTTCCATAACTGAATGCATTCTTAAAGCATGATTATTTGAATTTGAATTAACCTTTATTGCCCTTAAGGGAACTGTTCTTGCATTAAGAACTCTTATAAAAAAGGTCAACACTGTGCTTTCTACGTTAAAAATAAAAATAAAATAGGTAAATAAAAAATTATATTTTTCATTTTTGTACAATCATATGCTCTTGCTCTCTGCCTGGCACATCAGCCCTTGTGTACTTCATTAAGAATCAGAGGCAGGACCAGCCTCACACCAGCAGGGGGCTGAAGTGAGCGCTCGTGCTCGTTCCAGGACACCGGCGACTGCCTGCGTGACAGGCGGGTGGGTCACCTGTAAATAGGTGCGGAAATTTGATGGGCAGAATGACCGCTTCTTTCAGAGCCTCCTTCGCTCCTTCCAGCCCAGCCACGTCGTTCCACCGGACGTTGGGCTTCTCCATGATGATGGCGCCTGGAAGGAAACGAGACCGCCTAGTCTTAAATGCGACAGGAGCCCAGACCTGCCTTGCAGCAGGGCAAACGAACGGCGCGGCAGCGGGACCCACCCATCAGCTGCTCCTGGAGCTTCTTAGTCTCTGGGTTCTCCCCCTCGCTGTCGGAGTCGCTCCTGAAACACACAGACAGTTCAAGTTCAAGTTCAAGTTTATTGTCATTACACTCATATACATGGTATATGGTATAACGAAATGCTATTTAGCTAGCTCTCGGACATAAGTAGCACAAAGAGAAAAAAACACAACAACAACAACACAATTGTGTAGCAAAAGAAAGACAGAGACAACAGGCAATGTGCAAAAAACAACAACAGGCAATGTGCAAAACAACAAAAGCCAACAACAGCCCCGCAAGTTCAAGAGCGCCGAGCCCGGCCTGAGCCTAATGGCTGCTGCGTGACGGGACACAGGCACTCAGGTTTGTCACAAGACTTAGCAAAAACATCAGGAGGCCAAATCTCCAGCTACAAGCCTGGGTTTGGTACACAAAGGCTGCTTACTCTCAGCCTAGCAGAAACACACCTCCAACAGGTCTGTCTGTGAGGTGAGGTTTGGCTTTACCCTTTGTCATTGTGCTGGGACTCCTTAACAGGCTTCTTGCCCTGCTTGTGTTTGTTCTTGAGATAGTCCTTGAGCTTCTCAGCCCGGTCTAGGTACTGAACACACTTCCCTCGGATGCTCTCCTTTGCCTTGTCGCTGTGCGCCTCATCTGGAACGCACAAGAGCAGTGAAATAATAAGACTGCACTGCGTGTGCCACCACCCATGAGCAGTTTGAGCCCTTCGCTCACTTACATTTAATTGCATGTAAGAAGTACTCCACCGCATGCTGGTACAGTCTCAGAGCCTCTTCGTAGTTTTTGGCCTTGTCTTCTTCTGTGGCTTTCGTTACCAGGTCAATTGCTTTCTACGACACAGAGACGACACAGAAGAGCACAATCACACCTATATCTAGACAAAAATGCTGGTGTCTTAGTCCCAGATAGTACACAGATGTAGCCCAATCTTCCTTCCGTGTCCATACTTAGAGCAAATGTGAATTAGGAATTAGATATTAGTAAATTAGAGAAGGAACATAGTGAATTAATAATAGTGAGTTTTTAATAATAGCCCTGGTGACTCCTGGAACAGCTGTTCATATTCTTCACTGCATTTGGCTCCACACAAGTGAAACTGAAAACTGTTCAATGGGTTTAAGACTTTTCATCAGTGGGGAGACCGAAAGATCATTTTACCCTCCCCTCCTAAGTGTGAGGTAGACACACCTGTTCACGGCCATTTCAAAGCAATCTCCAGGTCCCATCATAATCAAAACACTATTCAAACAGTATCTGCAAATCATATATACCCAGGTCAGGCCATCCGATACAGCGGCAGAAAAAGAGGTTGATTTGTTCACAGCTTGCAACAGTTCTGACTGTAAACATTGTGATGTACAGAGCATGGCTCCAGATAACGAGGAGTCTGGTCCGCTGACAGGCTGGGGCTCGGGGAGAAACAGTTAAGCTGAGCTCAGTGACTTCAACAGGGAACTGTCCGGCTGCAAAGCAAACCTGAATTAATAATTCAATTATTGACAGCAGGTCTATAAAGCTGTTTTTGTCAGTCACACTTCTTTGTATGTTTTTTGAACACCTATTCATCCCTCCAGGTGACAGTAAGTGAACTGCATATACCACACAGAGCCCCAATATCAACAATACTCTCCAGTCGCCATCTCATCTCTGTGGTTTCACAGACCGCAACTAACACTCATAGAATATCACATGTTAAATTATGTCAGCACGTCTCGTAAGGGAAAACTCACTTTGTTTTCTGTTTTCTGGATTTTTACTTGATTCTTCACAGGTTACGCAGAGACGTCCCTGGACGTCTCCAGACGTCAGTGACGAGAACAGCCCATCTTTAATTTACGGTTCTTTATATTCCGCACTAGCAGACACCTCCTTGCGTCTCGCAAATCAAATAGATTTCGGATTTTTAGCACACAGCTTTCGTTTAAAACATTCTGCCTTCGTTAAATTCAAAGAGCTATTGTGATTATTAGCCAGTATGCATTATTTATCAGCTCTACATGAAAGCTACATAAACCATAACTTTCCCGCGGGGAAGCCTAGAAGTAAGATGTAGTAAAGCCAGAATATCACTCAGAGACCCGAAAGAACACAAACCCCTTTAGTCCTGTGAAACGTCATAGTATTATTAGTCCTCAATAACATCCTTTAGGATCTGTTGTTGTTATTGTTATTTTGTTTACGATACCTGTAGTGTTGACGTTGTCATTTCATCTCACACCTCACCAGGGATTCATCCACTCTGCAAAAGGGGACACCCAGGCTCTGGAGTCGAAACGGATTTCTGTTTTTTGCACCTGTTCTGGTTAAATCCTTCGGGTATTCTTTTGCGATTGTCATAAACAAGAGACTGAACAGGACCCCTGAAAATGAAGGAAACGGAAACGACCATAGACATTCAAACACGCCCAGAGCGAGCCACAACAACGGTTGCAGCGAACCGGCGAAGGAAAAGAAAATGCTGCCCCTACCGGGTTAGAACAAAACAGCACATTGTTTGCTAATCGAGAAATTGCTACATCGCACAAAATTCAAAGATTAAAATTAAATGCTGTATCTTTGAAAATGAATTTAACATCTATTTAAACGTCAGAGTAGTTAAGAAACATCTCGTGCACAACAAGAATAAAAGAGCTCCCTTATTTCTTTTATACTGTACTTACAAATATTCAAATATGCTACCATGTTATTTTTAGTTCTGACAGTGTATCCTTCCGCTGCAGAATATACACTCATGGGTGTGCTTTAGCCATTCCCTTTTGTTTTGATGTTAAGGGTAACGAGAAGCCGTGTCATGCCAGTGTGTATTATGATGAGTTCCAAGCCTTATCGCCACACTAAAGCAGTTTCACAAGGAAAAATGCACCAGTTTGTTGTCAGCGCTCAAATATCTGCGTCTGCTCAGCTGCTGGGCAATGGGCTATACGGTAGAAGTGCTTCTCACTGGTCCCGGTGGCTTGTTTCCTGTCGCTTAATCTTCTGAACTGCTGGGCGGTGGTGGCAGTCTTGTTCAGGGATGTGGGATTCAAGCCCAACAACTCCCCGAGCAGGAAAAGATGGACCTCTTTCTAATCCCTTACTCGTTTTTCCATGCAAGAGTACTTTGGCACACCAGCTCATCTCGGTCACTCCAAACTGTAGCTCCGCTAAAGGTCTCTCAGGTTGACCAGATGTTCAGGTTGAAGCTGGTGCTCAAGATCAGTTGTAAAGGACTGGACAACAGGAGTAGGAACACAATGACCAAATTGTAAAAGTATATTGTTTTATTTATATAAGGTATTTACAATTTTAGAATATTACATATATATATTTAGGGTTGAGGCATTGTAGTCATATACACCATCCTATTAAATGGATACACAATTCTCTTTAGTTTCTCATACTTGCTGTGCAAGTGATTGGTAATAATGGAAGCTGTCATGCATATCAAACTTTGGTACATAAAGCCTTTAAAAAACACTATTCTCTAACAAAAGGAAACTGCAAATATATAAGAAAGAAGAAATATAAAAATAGAGGTCAGGACAAATATGTTGTTTAATCTATACACAATTTCTGATGAGACTGATCAGATGAGACTTTGAATACATTCACAAGAACCTGCTCAGCTGGTGGAGCCAAGGCAGCACTCGAGTCGGATAAAAATGACCACATACACTTGAGATCTCTTGCTTTATGAGAGGCAACGATGGCGATAGTCTCTTGTATAGGCCAGGGTGATGCACAACACGGAAATGTCATGAAAGGAGCTTATAATGTATCCCGGGCAAAGGAGAACAATATTCCAGTGCTGCCTGCTGATACAGACAATGGAATGCTTTTCTGGAAATAAAACACCTTAAAAGAAGAATAATGGTTATAAAAGAGCCATTGAAATTATTTAAGCAAATGTTTTAAATACGTCAGTACTAAGCCATATACTTCTTTTACCTCTTATTATACATGTGTACGAGCTGCAGGTTCTGTAATATCATTCCGCATTACTCTAGTCAGTGTCACATTTGTACGTGGTAAGGAATACTGAATTCTCATATTCAGGACACAGTCACAGGAACGTGGCCCAAAAGCAATTTCTGACATACTAAGATTATTAACCGTACTAGGAGCCAAAAAGGTCTGGTTTATTCCCAGTGAACTTTGGCCACTGTTTCACAACTGGCAGATCCCTTCCTTTTGTAAAAGAAGGCTTGATCTCCATTAGCTCTGTGTGAACTCGTGCAACCAGCAAGACTGATCATTTTACAACCTCACATGATTTGGAAGCTTAAATGCTTAGGGATTACTGTGAATGTCCTGTAGGACCTCTACACGGATTGCACCGTGAAGATCCTCCAGGAAGAAAGGTTTATTGAAAGAGCTGTGCGCAGTGCCTACTGGAATCCTGCACGATGATTTTTTTTGGAAGAATCATCTAGGGGTTTTGTGGAGACTGATAAAGCTATGGAGCATGCAACTACAACATACAGTATGCATTCTTTTTTTAAAAAAGCAGCCACATTTAGACAAATGTATCAAGCATTCAAGTTAAAACATGGATTATGTAGTTTACATTTATTGTCTGTCACGCTGCTCTGTGGCTTCTTTCCTTTGAACTACATAAAACTGAAATGAAAACCTTCAGTCTTTTTCCTACACACATCTTGAACGAAATCATTTAATGTAATGCAATTAGAAAACTATGCTTTATGCAGAATATAAAACCCGATTATGTAACGTAGCACCTTCGAAATGGTATTTTCCACAACTTCATATAAAAATGTTCAAATCTCTTTGATATTGCTACTAACAAAACAGCCTATAAAACTGTCTTGCTAATGTTTGTCCTGGAAAGTATTTTGGGTCAATTTTTGAAGAGCTGTACCTTCCAAACCCCATGGCTTTGCAAGACAACCACCATATCTGAACAGTTTTGAAGAGATGAATGGCTCTTCTTTCACATTCATACCAACTGCACTGAAACCGGCACCATGTGGACCCATGACCGAACACTGCCATTCCTGAACATGGCTACTTTCAAACACAGTTTGCAAAGATATTTCATTCTTCCTTTATCTAGTCAACTATGTTTCCTTTAGATGAAAACAGGCATCATCAGTTTCTGAGCAGGGGAGAAGGGAGTGCATTTCTCTTTTTTCCCTCTTGTGGTGAATTCAGTTCCCAGAAAGAAAGAACTGAATGGTCACCCTACTGACATCCCAAGTGCATGAGAATATTCAAATGTGTGGAAACTCCTGAATCAGAGCAAGACAGAGTTTCAAACACTTCTGCTTCACCCCATCTGTCCTTACATTGCAGGACAATGTAATAAAATAAATCTCATGAGGCTCAAAATCACAAGTCAGGATGCCAACACTAGGTGGCAGTTTAACAGGCCACGTCTGCAGCCTTATTCAAACTTTGTTCCGATTTTAATATCAGCGAGCATCTTTGAAATGCACAGCACTGCTGAATCAGGAGTAACATGGCTCTCTGCTACTCCTTTACTCTCAAGTTATACAACTTTCTAGCTCATGTTCTACACACATCATGCAGTTTACTGTAGATTAGACTGTCTTTCATTTGACAAATGGTTTACAGTTCTAGTGCACCTTGAAAAGAGCTTCAGCACCTCAAGGACAAATCTGCAGCGCCTTGTAATCTTATCGGAGTGCTGTAGCTGTGACTTGCTGGATTCCTGCCATTTATGTTTGAAAACTGCTGGCATTTCCTTGGAAAATCATTTCTCCTCCTCTTATGGATGTTTTCTAAAAAAAGCCCAATTTTTGTAATTCACCATCTTGGTGCTAAATAAAAAAGTAATTTCAGCCATCAGCTATAAAAAAACAGAAGCATTAATTCACTGTAACATTGCAAAATGGACACTTTCATTTGAGCAATCTGAACAAAAAGCCATAAATATGAGGTGGTCAGGATGTACTGACCAGTGAAATGGGCTTGTATATGGACTCCTTGTAGGGTTACAGTGACTTTAAGAGGAAGCAGAACTTAATGTGTTACTTTTCCTATCATCTCTTCGTACGAGAGATACACAATCAGTGAACACACACGGCATTCACGAGTCACAAGACTGCATTGTCCATTATTATGTGCTTTGAGCTTGATCATTTTTCCATTCCATTCCTCCCACCAGCACCAAAGACTGTTTGCTCGCTGGCGCCACCGTACCCAGCCTGCAGTCCGCATGTTTACCTGAAGTGGCACAAAAGCAGTGCCAGGTGGCAGCACAGGAAAAACAGGCCCCTTCTCACCCCTCTTTGCAGGGGAGAGAGAGGACAGAGGTGCATACTGGGCAGGGGTCCTGGAGCTAGGACCACATGGGTGGGTTGAAGAAGAAGCGGTAACTGTCTCTTAAGCAGTATGAAAAGGAAATATCACTTTCCCCCAGTTATTGCCCATAACGCACTGAAGGATAACAGGATGCAGAGAAAGCCGATACAGTGTGCGATCTTTAATAGCTAAGTGGGTTTTATCCTCTGCACTGCTCTGTCTGGATTTCACCAAGGGGTGAAAGGGATCGGAGTGGGGGAGGGTGTTTGAACATGTCTTGGCTCTGTTCTCCAGGTTGGCAGTTCTGTACAGGACAAGCTTTAACAGTCTGTTGTAATATCATAGGCCCAAGTCTACTTGCCACTATACTGCTATAGCTACAGTACTTTGACTGACATTGCAGCAAGGTTTTACTAAACAGCTTGTGACTAGCTGAACAATGAGGGAATATGTACCCACCATCCATCCATTCTCAATGTGTTGGGGCTGGTGGGGGGTCATGAGCAGCAAAGCAGCAGAACTGTGTTCCAATAAGATGATTATTAAAACTGACAACAGGAAGCCGATGAACGCAACACCATGCTTAGAAAAAGCTGAGCAAGCCTTACGGTGCATTTAAGGAAAATCCTATGAATTACTGCTAGAAGAAAACTGTCCCAGCAGTGAAGGAGCATGCAAAGATGGCTTGCAATGCTACAGAAAAAAGTTGGATGCTGCCAATATGCAGCACGTGCATATCGCTACCACATAGTTCCTAATTTCCATCTGGGGAGGCTCAAATGATGATCTGCGTCTCTCCCCCACTAGAGATAAGTGGGTAGAGGGTTTGAGCGGGAATCACGTCATCAGCTGTGACCAGGGTTCTCCAAACAGCAGCACCCAGTTGACTAAGTGTTGCCGTAGGATTAGATCAGGGCTGGATTAGTTGACCTGGTCTGTCTTGGTTCTCCAGTTTGCAGTGGTGTCAGTGAAAGACACGCCTCTCCTCCAATCAGGACTGTGTTAACTGTGATGTGTTAAAAGCTGAGTGGCTGTAAAGGGGGTGGGGTCGAGGGGTATGGCAACACTTCCTCATCCTCCCACTTGTAGGGTCACAGGGATCAAACCAGCCAGCAGAGATGCGAAAAAATGAAATAATAGACAATCGACTATTCCATAACCTGTAGGTATAACAAAGGTAAGATTCTAACTTTTAAAAAATCCTTCAGGAGACCAGAATAAAAAACAGCCTTGACACGGTTATACTTCAGAGGTGGCTGGTTGGGTCTTCCTGTAAATGATAATGCCAGGGGTTTGTAAAAGCACTGAAATGGTATTTAGACTAGACAATTGAACAGGACGACTACCACAGTTTCTTGCTTTTAGTGCAAATAAAAATCCAGCTAACTTTAAACAAAAAGCCATTGCTTAAAAGTTTGTCCATATCTTTGTCACAGATTTGCATCTTTGACAAAAATGGATGAAATCAGTAAAACGGGCAGTAAATTTTTATCCGGGGGAGAAAAGCTTTATAATTCGCCTGTGCATGATAAACAAGGCTTAGCTTTTCAGTTCTAGATTTAGTGGGCTATCCCGAAGTGTGCAGCTATACGATACACAGTAAACTTCCAAACTGTTCATGAAACAATGCTACCAGCTTCAGTAAAGCTACTGAGGACACAAAACAAATGTTTCAGGTCAACCTATACTGTAATACTCCACTGCAGTCGTCATTATAGTTTACACTTCTGTAAAGCCCACCTGGGAATCAATGCTCAGGGCTGACTGCTGGAATCGCATTTTTATCCACTGAATTTCCAAATTTGAGTGAACAGTGGAACGTGATCATTTTAAAACAAGCAAAACAATTACAGCAAAGGATACTGTGATTATTCAAAGGTGATGGCCACTTTTAAAAATGGGATAAATTTCAACAGCATTTCCTTTAACAAGAAATAAAGGCACGTTTGGCAGTACTAATCAGATCTGTTTAAAGAGTCAAAACAGAAGAGTTTGCGAGTATCCTGTGTCTTCTGCACGTTGGGTTCCTTCCTGTGCAGCAGCTGTTTCTTTCTAGAGCTCTTCAAAATGTGCTGAGTTGGCCTGAATGCAGAGCCTTGACCTTCTGCCCTCCAGCCTCCACAGTCAAACCACGGCCTCCTTCTACAAACACACCCCACTGCCCAGTGGGAATATCTCTGAAGCTGAAGTACGGATATTTCCGTGACAGTGTGCTCCAGTAGGACAGGTCCTCCGGTTCTAAAAGGCAGGGGCCATGCCAGTCTTCAACTGCACTGATCTTCCCTTTTCTCTCCTTGTCCCAAAATGAAATCAGCTGGATGATTGTTTTAAAATACTCGATAGCAGGTTTCTCCTCATTTCCATGGGACTGCCTGTCCAAGATTGGAGAACGTGCACAACAAGGAGCTGACTGAAGTGGGAGAAGCTTTTAGAATTCCCCTGGTGGTTTGATCTGTGTCGAAATGATTCCTTTTTTTGTTAGGGCTCTCTGGGTGCTGTCGCTGATTCGGTATCCAGTCTTCAGGATTGCTGTCTTCTGGATTCAGATAAAGGGAGAAAAACATTCTGCAGTTTTGGCCCAAAAAAGGCCAAATAGCTCTGCTAACAGCTCTGTTTATGTTGAATCCATCTCCAAAAAATTGATTTACTGAGGCTTTTAAGCATGAAACAGCCTCTAAATCTGGATATTCCTGCAGTGTAGGTAAATCTTCAAAGCTAAAATGTTCCAATTAAGGTACATAACAAGGGCGACATGACAGAACAATTTCAAAAGGCTGCAGCTCTTCGTTGGCACACACAGTACTGACCTAAAAATGACTGTTTTTCAAAAGCTGCTTGCTTCCATTTATAAATTAAAGCTGAATGCCTTACACTTTGGACTCCCAGGATACTAAACTATTCTGCACAAACTGGAGGCCCTCAAGAGGATTTCCAAGCACAGCTGCTTCAGCCGAATCTGAAACTTTGTTGACAAATTAAACACGGGATAAATGCTCACTATTTCACCAAAGAGGCTTGGAAAACAAGCAGCAAACTAACCATTGTTTTACAAAATGTCATTGTATCTATACATTTATTTTTAAATGCATGTTTAAAATATATAATTTTATATAAGGTTTAACAATTCTCATCATGCCTTGGGATCTTTAATGGCCTTATTTCCCCAAAATTATTTCATCATACACACAGAAGAAAGGATTGTTATTTCCTTTTTAAACCTCTTGGTTAACAAAAGAAAATGTCTGCTAGCTGTGATGCTCTGAATGATGGCCTAACTGCTTGTATTGTATCTGAGGAACAGGATAAGTATTCCTTCGATTAAAAGTAAGCTGTGTTGGAGTGTGATACTTAGTAAAGTATCAGTTTAGTTACAGGAATGAAAGCCATACAATCTAAGTCAAACCATATTTTCGGTGGGGAAAACCGTGTTTTTAAAGAAAAACACTCTGATAAAATAAGAATATGCAAGCCAAGAAAGTTCTGTTCCGAGATATTTATGTGCCTCTATATTTGGTATAAAATAATTATCTTATATCACTATGAAGGTTATAATCCTGTAAGTATGAATTAAATAATTAATAAATGCACACTCTACAAGTACTGTTAAATGTGCTGAAATGCAAGGGTGTCTTGACCTGCTCTGCCTCTATTGATACTGCTTTGTTCAGACTTGAGCATATGATTGAGGTGCTACTCTCGGGGGATTTTCACAGACTCTCGTCATCCTTTATCAGAAGGTTACTTCTACTGGGCAGGAGGACTGAAGGTAGAGAAAAGCCCATCCTGGAGCATAGAGCACATGACTGCTCATCCTCTTGAGCAGAAAATCAGTCCATCGCAGGGCCACTTGGATTGGCCAGTCAAAGCAAGCCAGCATGTCTTTGCATAGTGGGAGATATCTGGTGTCATACAAAACCATTTCATAATAATTATATGCCTTCAAATTAAAGGTAGGGAGAGCACACTGGTCCCCATATCCCATGATCCTCTGAGAGAGGCAAAAGTGTCACTTGAGCCCTCTGGTTTAGCCAGTGTTGCAGCTTTAATACTAATTGCAGTCCAAATGAAAAGACCATTATATCAACAGTAAATGGCCAAAAACTCCTGTTGCAGTTTAAGGTCCCACCGGTCATTCTCAAGGGAAATTAAGTGGTTGTCATATGTGGCAGAAGCGTCTCATTGTTAAGCTCAGGTACTAGGGGTTCCCAGGTGTGGAAACTGCAGGGACATGCTCACACAGTGCAGGCAATTTTTTTAACGTTTCTGCCAGCCACACAGAATAGTTATCGCTGCAGCCACAAGTTCAAGCTGTGCTATGCAGCAGCAGGAGCAGAAACTAGCAGCTGCGTGTGAGGCCTCTCCTCGATTGCTGTGCATGTGCCACCACTATGGCAATCATTTTCACAAGACAGGCCTCAAAAACACAGCTCAACACAAGACGCTTGACAAAAGAACTGGCAGAAGTGAGAAGTGGTTTTTAGACACGCAGAATACTTGAGAGCCTTTTCTTATCCTCTCTAAAGCGCTCCTGTGTGCACCTCTGTGGGTATGCCCTGTGATGCACAGGCTCCAAGTTGTCATGACGCTTACTAGCAATACAGCTTTCCTGTAACAGACAGATAAATAATTGCCATAATGCCATGCTATGCATAGCATGTATTGCTCACTTTAGTGAAGGTGCAGCACACGTGGACTTCTTCCTGTCTCAGGGTAACTCAACTTGTGTTGGGGATTTGGGGTGCCTTATGGCCCCCTTTATGAAAGGGGATACTATTGTTCCTATATGGAGATAAGCACACAGAGAGGAATGTACATGGGCGGAGCGGTGGCTCTGTGACTCGGGCTCTGCGCCTGTGGCTGGAAGGTTGCCAGTTCATATCCCGTGGCCGGAAGAGGAATCCTACTCCGTTGGGCCCTTGAGCAAGGCCCTTAACCCCAGCTGCTCCAGGGGCGCTGTATAAATGGCTGGCCCTGCGCTCTGACCCCCAGCTTCTCTCCCTGTCTGTGTGTCTCATGGAGAGCAAGCTGGGGTCT